CAGCTTTCTTCAGAGGAATTTGCCTGTAACACATAGCACAGGCATAACACTAATTCAGATAACTGTTTTTTGACTGTTTGACTCTTTGTTTCCAAACTCTTTATTTAGAGTCCGACATCTCCCTTCACAGGATAATGAGTTATGAATGGGAGCAGTTTCTGTGTGGCTAAATTTACTGATGACATCAGGTCTGAAAGATGTGTGTGTATAGCAATGACTTTATTGGCTTTCTGTGTTTAGAACAGTAATTCATAATGTTCCTGGCAGTGGGGCTTTCTGACTGCTCTCTGTTGACCCACAGATTCTTGCTCATTTTCTGTCTCCAGGGAAGACTAGAGTGATTTTGAAAACTCCTATACTCCTATCCATACGAATACCCTGCATTCTCTCCCCCGCAGAAGGGAAAGTGTTTTATAGTTGATATGTCAATTTGTGTCTGTTTATTTTAACTAATCTAGTTTCCTAGTAAAAGTAACAAGTGAGTTGGTAGTCTTAAGTGTTTAGGAAAGAGCAGAGGAAACTTGTACCAAAAGCTCTTTTCTTTGTGACTTTGTTTCTCAGAAGAACAAATATTAATTATTAATTCATTGTTTTGCTTACAAGGTGAATGGGACACACGAAAAATTAACTTGCATGCCTTTCAAAAAAGAGATCGTGCACCCTATCTTAAAACAATCTCAGTCTGCACATACCAAGCAGCTTTGGCCAGTAGTACTTTCCTGGCTTTGAGGTAAAATGATATTACAAGTTGATAGGGGATGAGGAGCTTTCTTTAGCAGATCTTCTCATACAGTAATATTAAGTCAAAATTACTGTGAATTTCATAAAAAAAAAAATTGTTTGCATTGGAAAGAAATTAGTTGTTGGTAATTATTTAGTGGAAGATTGTCTTATACCTGAGGTGAGTGAAAATTCCAGAGTTTTAGCAGTAGTCATAAGCTGTGTTTTACTGCTTGTTCTCAGAGCTTAACTTCTTTTTAAACTGTTTGATATTAGGAGAGGAAAATACGCAGCTATGGGAGGGAATCGGGATAACCTGAGATAGCTGCTCATCATTGTGTGCCTTTATCTTAACAGCCTGTTCCATTGCATGTGTGAAGACGTGATGGGACCTTTTTTTTTTTTCATCTTGTTGCACACAGCTGTACAAATCCAGTTCGAGTGACTTTGTCACCTCTGCAGGGTCAAGTCTAGTCAGTAGTGAGAAGAAACTAGTGTGCAAAGTATAGGTGCTGTAGAAGTAAAATTAGAGATAATTTATCTTCCCTTACAAAACTATTTTTGTCCTCTTTGCTCTAACACCATTTTATTATGATCAAGGAGAAACCTCTGTGAAGTACCATTTCTTTCAATTTGGTTTGATCTGAATTCCTATTTGGTTTTAAACATTAGCAGCTTCATAGCAGGATTCAGGAATGTGATTTTTCTTTTGGAGTTTTCACCATGAACAATTGTGATAGCAATAGTGTGTCTGTTTATAAATAAAGCTGGAATTTGGTCTTGCAGAAATTACTTAAATTCCTTTCCCAATAACAGGTGAAGTGTTTTTTCAATTGAGGTTCCTTGTTTTTAGTTGCTGGAACAATTATTTTTACAATACATATTTTTATCTAACGCTGTTCTTGTGTAAACGGTGACTTATTCTGTTATAATGATCACTCTTAAATCATTGAAGCAGACATGACTGATAGTGTGGTTTTCCTCCTCTCAGTTGTGAAGAGCCATCTTCACTACATCAGCATGAACTATTACAACACATTCTGGTGCTTACAAAGTATTTTGAATTAAATTAAATTTAATTCAAGTTGATGCTTTGTAAAAGATGAGGGAAAAGTTCAGATTTTGTCACAATGTCCTCAGAAATCATACTGTGACAATGTTTTAAACAAAGCTATTTTTATAGATGCAGACATGAATCAGCCTGGAAATCATAACAGCACTTGTTTTAGATGTTAAAATGGACACTAATAATAGTTTAGAGAGTCTCTATTTCATTCCATTTCAAAGTACTAAACTCACTTTCATGAGCGCTAAAACAAGTGAAGCATTATTTTAATGAACTATCTTATGAGTTAAGCATTGTGTGATGAACTGACTCGTCATGTTTGTATGCCTCCACACTGGGTGATACATGTCATTCTTAGTAATACTTGAACACAGTAAATGCCTTGACAGGGAGGTTTGGAGGGCATCTGCTCTGGACGTGATGAGATGGTAGATATTAACAAGTATGCTTTTGTTCTGGACCAAGTGATGGAAATAAACCTGTGTTTCTTGCAAAAGACACCTTTGTCTGGAGTTATAAATGAAACCAATTGATTTTTCTTTTTTCTTGTCCAGCCATCTAGAGAGCAGCTGTTTGTCACAACATGAATCTGAACTTTTTTTTTACCAGCACAGTTAGATGTCAATTACAGCAGAGTTATAAGTTCAAAATATAGACATCAATGATTGAGCTGTTTTCTTTGTTAAACTTTACTTCCATTGGATATCAGCTAGGAGTTACAAACTGGAAGTGGTTTGTAATTACAAGATGTCTTACATAGTTTAGATTCCTACAGGGATCTTGTTCCATAGAAATCCTTGTTTGAAAGGAAGAAATAAATTTGCAGTAATAAGGATTGAAAAATACTCATTTTATCATTGTCCTAAATTTCAGTGTACTTACTTCTTTATACACATACATAAAATAATCAGTTAATAAATAGGCTTTTTCTATCTAGTTCCTGTCTACTTCTTTATACTAACTGCTTGAAAGAAAAAATGCAGATAACTGTCAATATCAGAAAAAAACAGTATAAATGTTTAGTGCATTAGAGAGTGTACAAGCGAGTATCTAAATCTAGGATTGCTGATATAATTTTTGAATGTTTTTTAAAGAATAATGAATAGAGACAAGGCAAGTGAAGCTTATAATCTCACTATTCCATGTTTCTCTCATCTCTAATTATTTTGTGTTTTAAGTCCAGAGGAATGTTAGTTATGCAAGCTAGTATCTGAGCTGTTTATCAGTGCCTTTTTAAACTAAAACCTTTATTTGAGCAGTGAAAAAAAGCTTTTTAAAAATCTGGTATTTTTGATCTCTCAATTATTGTTTGATAGCAGTTCTGGTGGGTTTTAACAGTTAAATACTAGTTTTTATCTTTAATGTCTGGTTGAAAATGTAAATGTAGTTAAGCAAATTTTTGAGATGCTGTTCTGAACAGATAATGCAGTGTAACATTTTTAGTTCTGTTCCTGTGGAAATGATGACTACTGATGAGTTCACATCAGGAAAGAAGTTGTAATTTCCCTGCAAATGATTACAGTGTTTCTTATGTTCTAATTCATAGTATTTAGGCAAGCACTAAGTTGAAACTGAATTCATAATATTCATAATCTGAAATGAAGATGTGTTCCTGTCTGTCCATTATGGCTACGTAGATAGGTGACAAAGGGCTAATAAAATTCTTTGAGATTTCTTTCATACTGTGTGTGGTTTGCTTTTATGACACATCAGTCTTTTTTCAGAGGGGTTAGTACTCGTCGTATTTCATAGTGAAAGTTTATTTTTAATTATGTGTATTTGTATTTCACTTAAAATATGAACTGTGAATTTACTTCATTGCAGTAAGGTTTTATTTTTCCATGTCCTGATTTGCGCACTTGTTATTTTCATATTGATAATTTGCAAAACAATAATTTGTTATTTTCCTAACAAACACGGTCTAAAAGAAAATGAAAGCAGAGGTTGTTTATAGAGGATAATAAATTGAATTAAAATTTTTTAATAGAAGCTCATTCTGTCAGCTTCTCAATAAGCAGTGGACTTTCACAGCTAGAAGGATGCGATTTGGTATACAGTATTGACAACTGTGTTTAAAAGGAAAATGCCTAAGTACAGTATGAAGTTCTGCTTTAGTAGCCAAAAATCTGTTGTTAATTTATATTTAAGATTCAGCAAACTATAGAATCAATTGCATGTTGCCAAAAAAGCTACAAAAAGTTTAAAAACATGACAGTATACAAGATCAAGTTGGCTTTTTCTCAGTTTAGACACTACATAAGATTAAAATTAACTTATACTTTGCTTTAAGAACGTTGAATCTGAGTACCTTGCATAGCTGACAAAGTGATTGACATCTTAAGTGCAAGCATCGGGGTTAGCGCAGCCAGCTAAGGCCAATTATTGTGATCTGTACTCTTTCTGCAATCACAGCAAACTACAATAAACCCCCAATGGTTAGCAGAACTGAGAAGTCAGGGGAGGGACTATTCACAAGGGTTTGTAGTGACAGGATGAGGGGTAATGGGTTTAAGCTAGAAAAGGGTTTAAGCTAGAAAAGGGTAGATTCAGGTTAGACGCTAGGAAAAAGTTCTTCAGTATGTGGGCGGTAGACCACTGGAACAGGATGCCCAGACAAGTGGTGGAGGCCCCATCCCTTCAAGATCAGGCTGGATAAAGCCTTGCGTAGTTTGATCTAGCTGGAGATGTCCGGGCTTAGGGCAGGGGAGTTGGACTAAATGACCTTTGGAGGTCCCTTCCAGCCCAGACATTCTATGATTCTAAGTCTGAAGTCATTGCCTTATCTTTATTATAAACAGTATTTCACTGCCCCAGCTGGGTTTAAAATGGAAACAAACATTTCACTTAATGAGGCTTTCTTAACATCTTTGGGGAGGAAGAAATAAAGTTTTCCTACTACTAATCTATAATTCCCATTGAAACATGTCCAATTGCATTAAAAAAAAATAATGAAGCTTTGCTTTCATGATCGTCTTCCTGTTTTTACATTTTTAATATAATGAATGACAGTGATCGTGTATCCCAAGTGAACAGTCAGTTGTTGCATAAGGTCTGGAATTGTGGTTCTATTTAGTATCTTATTTGTGTGTAGTCACCGTCAACACAATAGCGTATTGTCTCCTCAAACAAAAATAGTTCAGCAAATAACACACCGTAAGTAAACTAGTAATTTAGGGGGGGTTATGCCATTAACAGCTTCTGTTTATTATTACAGCTTTATGCAGGAGCTGTCCTAGAGGTATGCGGATGAAAATTGGGGAGGTTCCCTCAAGTCCAGGGTAAGTAAAGCCACTATATTGGTCTTTCAAATCAGAAATGCTGTCACAGCTGAATGACAAAACGTGCTTTAAGTACTACCAGAACTACTCATAAATTTTGTATATTGTATCAGGAAAGTTGCGTTGACCTGAGGCTCATGGAACTGCTTTCCAGTAACTTGATAGGTGAAATTATATTGCACAGTTATGGAACTACTTTCTTTTCACAGATTCTGCAGTATAATTGCTTTTTCAGTGGATAAAGACAGTCAGATAAAGTGACTGGGATACAGTAGTGTAAGAGGAAACTTGGTACCATCAGTGTGTGGTGGGAGAAAGCTGCAGGAGATATCTCTATGAGAAATTTCAAACTGGAATTCTATTATAATAGGGGGAAGAGCTTATGTGGTAGCAGTACTTTCTGGGGTTTGGTTTTGGTTTCTGTAATGAAGATCCTACTACTGTACTTTGGACACAGTTGGACATAAAGAAGAAAGACTAATCTAGCTTTAGACAGCAAACAGCACAAATAGCACATCTCAATCTATCATGGCCAGTATTAGTATCTCCCTGTCTGAAGGGTGACTGACAAACAAGTTAAAAAAAAAAAAAAAAAAAAAAAAAAGCAGGTTACAATTACGAGAAGTTATGCTGCCCTCTCCTGCCACCTCTATCCACACACAGTTCAATTAATTGACTGCAAGACCAGATCAAAGCTATTTTCTCTTTTTACACTGTTTAAAATGAAAAACCAAGAGTTGTTTAAATGACTTGTCGTACTTCAGAGGAGTGAGGAGATAATTTTGTTAGCATGGGAGTCCATGTTATCTCCATGACCATTCCAATTTAGCAAACATAAAACCATTCACAGCTGTTGTTGCCCATTCACTCAGCTTTTTTTATAGTTGTGGCAGTTAAATGCGCATTTGGGTTATAGGTTTAAAACAAAAAGTCAACCTGTTAGCCTGACTCCAGCCTGCATCATGTCCTCAGTTATCTTCATGTGTAGATCCTAAAAGGGAATGGTCCTCAATTTCTTCTGTGTGCACACCATGACACAAAGGCTTACAAGATACGAGGAAAAATATCAAAAATTTTGAAGCTGTTGGTTTTTTTTGTTTTTCCCTTTCAATCCCTGATTATCTAAACATGCTCAAAGATTTACATTCCATTAATCACATAGCTTGCTTTTTAAAATGACTTATTAAATTTCAGTGTTTTTTCAGTAGATTCTCTGTTTTGACTACCAGTTCTTCTTCGGTAGACTTAGAAGAAAAAAAAGACTGACTAATGCACTTGAAGATCTCCTTTGCCTTTTCATCATTCTGCAGTTATCTTAACCATATTTACTGCCAGTGTATCAGAACAGGTTGGGAAATGGGATAAATTTTAAGACCATATTTAAACATTTTTAAAAGCAGTAGAATATATTCTTCCAGCTGGTGTTTGTCCTCACATTAACATTAATCTCAGAATAGTTTTACTTAGATTTTCCCTTTGATTTTAACTTCTACCAGAAACAGTGTTTAATGTCTCCATCTGAAGACATCGACATTCATTAGGTGTTTTTATTTCAACTTTTCACTCAGATAGATGTTTGCTACAGAAGTTAGGTTGCCTGAAGGTCATGCTGCTGCTTTTGAAGCATTGTCTTTGTAGGCTTCACTGAGCTGTGTCGCCTGTAATTGACAATGCCTCGTTGAAAATAACGCTTGATTCCTTTCCTATAGCTTCTGTGAGGATTTTGTTGGGGTTTGGGTTGTTTGGGGTTTTTTTGTTGTGTTGTTTGTTTGTTTTTTTTTCCAGAATATACACAAAATAGCACCACTAATTGCAGGATTGTGTATGTATTAGAATTACATGGATTAGTATACGTTACTTCTGTACCTGACTGTGAAGTTTTCACCTTTAAGTAAAAATTCATCTCTCTAAATTGTTTTGTCACTTGGCTTACTTCCACAGACTTGGACTTTGTCATGGACTGCTGGGTTATATTTTATTTGACCAAAGGATGAACAGTGGATTTTTTATAGTGAGATTCACATTTTTTAAAAAGTTAAGGATTAAAATACGTTGAATTAATAAAGATTTGTAAAAATTACACAGTAAGTAAGGTAGGCTAGTTGGAAAAACCCATGTGTTACTTGCGGATACTAAATATAATATTCTATGATCCTTCTGTACCAAAACTGCTATAAAAATTACTGTTTATATAATTTTAAACTATAGATAGTTGCTGAATACACCTATGTTCCTGAAACATGAGAATCATTACATACAGAATATATTTGTAGACACTGGGAAAGCAAAGAAGTGGCAAGTGATGAAAAAAATCTAGTCCTCTGCAAGGTTATCTCAATCTTAAACTGAATGTTATTCTTTGTAGTATCATAACAAACTACTCAATGCTCTTGTGAACATAGCCAAGGATGTCTATTGCCATTTTCAAATGCGGCTTCTTGTGCTAAGTCAGGTAATAAACAAGATCTCTCTAAGTCTTTTTAGGTTCAGTAATGAAATATTTTTGGTGCTGTTTCCCTTAAAAATAAATCACTCCGTTACAGAAGCTGTACTATAAAATTAATTCCTATATTACATATAGTTTGAAATTGTTCTGTATAAAACTGTTGTTAAATATTTATCATTTAAAAGCACTCCAACTAGAACACTGAAAGTAAGTGACAGGATTCATAGATGAAGCCATCTATTATTATACCAGGTAACACAGAAAATGTGACAGGTTTTGGCTGACATCCATAAAACTAAGGCTCTAAAATAGAATAAGAAATTAGCTGGTTCAGTGATTATCTAGCATATTTATTTTAAGTTGACTTTTCAGTGGTGGCAGTGCTCTGTTCATGATGAGATAGGAGATCATAGTATCTAAACTAGATTCTTTACAGTTTGTTTAACAACAACTGAATTAGACGGTGTTTTTTCATTAAATTTTTCTATCCTATTTCTCTGCACTCTTTTTGTTCATCAGTAGAATAACTCTCACCTCTCCCTTTGTGACTTCTCTTAGTTAAGAAATGGACATGCTCCCAGCGTATCTGTTAGAGAAACAAGGTTCTTAATCTTTGAACTTCTGCAGTATGCGGCTATAAGCACTCAGTTATACTGCTCAAGTTCAGCAAGTGTGAGGGGAATTGTTTTAGGTACAAAAATGTAATTTGTAATGGGATTTTATTTTTAGGTAAGATCACTTATTTCCTGGTTACTCTAATCTGTAACTCTTTACTAGTGAAAGAAAGAAGTTGTATTAACCTTAAATTTTGCATTGGTAGAGATGTTGGTAAAACTCTTGCTAAGAAATGTAGGATACTGTAGTAGGAGACATGAATCATTTTATCATAATCTCTTGTGAATAGATGATATGTAACCTAAAAGAGTACTTCTTTTCAGATTTAGAAATGTCTCTTGCCTTACTGCTTCTGCAAAGTACCCTGTCTTTTGCTGTTTTGTAAAGTTTATTCTTCAGGCTTGAGGAGAGCTCTGTCTTGGATTTACCTTTGAAAGCTTGGTATAAAATCATGGACAGCTGCATTGTAGTTTGATTAATAGGCTACAAATATTAGTTTTTGATGTGCCATATGAATTCTTAAATTTCAATTCTTATCTCAAACTGGGGTCCCCAAAAGGTAAAGAGCTATAGCCATTAAAAAAGTAAACAAGTGCTTGGATGCCTGCTGTAGCTCTGTCTTTTTGATAGGCTCTCATGGTATCTTTTGAAGTACATTCGTGCAGTCTTCAAAACTGCAGAGCATGTATTTGTCCCCAGACCAAATTATTAAAGAGTCTGAGGAAAGAAATTCATGCTTTTGGGTTGCCCATATTCCCAGTGATATAGATAGTCACATTTTTAGCAAATATTGTCAGTTTTCTTAGCAATGCTTAGGTATTTGTGACAGAATTAATTGCTGGGGTTTCCTGTCTTCATCAGATATCACTCTGCTGTTGTCCCCTTTGTATTGGTTGCTTTTCTTTTCCCTAGGTCTGACACTTGATTACTGGCAATGCCTAAATAAAAACCTTTTTAAAATTATTTGAGTTCATTTCAAAATAGTCAAGTCTGTGGTATGGTCAAGTCCTTTTTAGTGTACAAATCTGTGACATTCTGCACAATCTTCTTTCTAGTAATTTTTTGGTTTTTACTTTCAAACTGCTTCTGTCTAGTAATTCAGGACCAGTTACGCAAACTCCCCTTTATTTTATTGATTTATGCTAAGTAATTTTACATTTGCTTTCTGTTCATTGAAATTAAGTCAGAACAACTATTTACAGATAATCTTAGACATATTTTAATCATCCTCTTGTGTGGCACAAAGTACCATGCTAATGTTTGATAAAATGTCTTTTGAAATACAGTAATAACTCATCTGCTTCCTATTGCTAATTCAATGTGTGAAACATTCAAATGCATCACAAAAAGACTTTAAATATTACTCTAAAAATAGATCATCCTTTATACTACTTTTGAAACATTCCTCCTTACTGATGAATGATGACTGAAACATTCCTTTCTGTTGTTGATCTTGGAGCACTGAATTCTGGTTGCACAATGGTGTATCATGGAGGGACAGCCACCTTCATCAAAAAAATAGGCTGCTGCTTTTCATTGCACAGTCAGCATTTTGAATGAGACTGTAATGTGTATCTGTACACAGCATCAAGAGATTAGAAGAAGCTAAAGGGTTCAGTTTACTGGAAAAATAACATTAACCGAGAAAGGTAGGTCCTGTTTAAAAAGTTGAGTGTATCCACATGGGCATATGTTCATCCTCAAAAGTGTTAAAACAGAAAGCAATGGAATAAATCTAAACTCAAAGTGCAGCTTTGTAAATAACAAGTGGACTTTTCCGTTACTGGCAGATACTTAATCATATTAGATTCTTGCTAGAAGACATGCTGTAGCTTACCAAGACGAAAAATTGTGCAGTAAAAGTTTATTGCTGACCTTGTGCTGAAGATCTGACTAGTTCTGACATGTGCTTTTCTGCCATTAAAATCTGAAACTGAGATAATAGAGACAGTAAGGGGTTTTTTATTTCCTCCAGGCCGTTGTGATTTGAGGCCACTATAGTCTTTCTGATGTGTGTAGAGACACACAAGGTTAAAAATGCTTGCCTGTGTGCATAGTTGTTTGAAAACTGTGTGATATTTTCCTGCCATTGTATACTTGCTCTCTTTCAAGAATTAAGAGATTAATTTTTTTTTCCCTCAACATCATTTTGCATTTTTTCAGTTAAAGATTAAGCAAGAGATCCTTGCTCCTAGAACAGGAATCTAAATAATGTGAATATTCCTGAATGTAGATATCCTTGATAGTATGGATCATGCCTTTAATAAATAACAGTAGGGTAGTCAACTGTGTTTACAAGGGAGTTATGCCTAAAACGTGGATCTGCAACTTGACACAGAGATGTGTGGCATCACGTCCATTTTTGGTCAGGAATAGACAGCACAAGCGTGTGCACGTGCATACGCGGGCTTGCTGCTTGGGCCTGAGTGATTCTCAGATTCCTTGGGAATCTCCACTTAGGACTCTAGGCTTTAATTCCAACAGACTAGTGTACACAACAGTTTTCTCAAAACAAAGAGGTGTTATACATCAAAACAAAATGACATTATAATAGTAGCAGTGATTTTCTCTTTTCTGTTGTGTTCCTATGCAAAGGCTGCCCTTAGGTCTTTAAAAGCATTGTTCAGTATTTCCTCTCTTTGCAGAACAGTTTGGTGCTGGGCAGGCTTTACAATGCCCATACGCTCCTGATTCTCCTCCAGCCTTTTAGTGCTCTGGAGGCTCACCTCGGGATTGCCTCCCAGCAGCAGGCCTCTGCTTTGGTATCGCACATATTTTATAAAAGCATAAGCTGCAGTGATTTTCTTAACATTATGTGAAAGGACAGTTGCAAAGCTGGCAGTAGAATGGCTCTGACTTATAGTCTGGTGTTTAATTCACTGGAACATAGTGTCATGGCACCAAGCTCAGAGTTCATCTTATGGAAGTCAAAGTGGAAAATGCCTTCCCTGCTCACCCGTGGGTGGATCATTGTATCGGGTCTGGCTGAGCTAATTTTCCCATTGCAGCCCTCCTGGTGCAGTGCTTTTGTGTTGGGCGCTGGAAGGGCGCCGATAACACCCATGTTGTCACTACCCCGGAGCAGTGCTCACACAGCACCAAGGCTCTTTCTGTAGTGGGGGCGGGAGCATGGGGGTAACATGACCAGGACAGCTGACCCGAACTGACCAAAAGGATATTCCAGACCATATGACGTCGGCTCAGCTGTAAAGCTACTTCAGAGGAGGAGGAGTGGGGGCTACTCTTTGTCCTCCAGAGCAACCACTACATGTTTTGGAGCCCTGCCTCCCAGGACGGGGCCAGACATCGCCTGCTGATGGGAAGTATAGAATAAGTCTTTGGGTTTTTTTCTCTTTGCTTCCACACACAACATTGCTTGCCTTTGCTATCCAATTAATCTGCCTTTGTTTTTACCCACAAGGGGTTTTGTCTCCATCTTATTTTCCTTTCCCCTTTTGCTCTGCAGAGGAGGGAGAGGAAAGGGGGAGAGTAATAGGGTGGCTTGGTGAGTATCTGGTACTCGGCCAGGGTTAATACCCACAATTACATAAATATTTGTTTTTCTGTAGTGTGTAATTTCTAAGCTGCTACAAGGAGACAAAAATGAGGAGATAGTTTGCTCTTCAGTATTAAACATCAAACTATTAAATAATGGTGTAGAAATGTGCAAGTAGCGTTTGGACATAGGGTCATCAACAATGTCGATGTCATGGTATAGAGGGGAGACTGTTGGGGCAGTGCTGAAGGTGGAGCATGTGCACCACATCACATGATAAGCAAGCAGCCATGTATTCCTATCAATTCCATTCAAAGGCTGTTGAATTTTTCAACTTAGGGCATGAGTTTGTGGAAAGAAAAAAAAAAGTGTTCGATGGGATAATCTGTCTTTAATGCATGGCAGTATATTAGTTTCTTACTTTAGCTTCCCAAATTAAGAATATACAAATTTAAGTTATTTGTACAGTGTTTTCCTTTGTTGCATTACTAATTCAAGTGACTAATGCAAGAAGTCGCTACGATCAGCATTAGAAATAAATATGCCATTAACAGAAACCAATTTTGTTCCATCTGTCTAAAATTTCAGCAAAAATGTTCTGCAGTGCTTCAGCTTTCAGAAGATTTAGACATTTGACATTGATACAACTGTGTAATAGCTACTTTTAAAGTGACAAAATGTAATACTGCCTGTAGAGCATTTCCTGCCTCTGCTTAATTCTGTTCCCATTTTATGCAAGCTTGTTCAGTCCAACACTGCAGCCGCAGAGCAGCCACTTCTGTCCATGTGAGCTTTCTTCTGTCACTCAAGTAACAAATCCTCACACCTGTTACAAGTTTAAAGGGTGGGAACCTGAGTTAACCCCCCAAAGGCTATTCTTTAATACAGTTGAGTTCCACAGTTCACATTTGCTTCTGACATTTCACCCACTTTACTATGCTGGCTTGCCATTTTTTTTTAAGTTTTCCAATTAAAGTCACCCACTGTACTGAGTGCTTCTTACTACCTCCTTGTCATATAAAGCCCTGGAGACTGATTACAGCTTTAGATTTGATAGAAAAAAATGGAGGGAAATTCCCCATTAAATAGCTCAACATGCTGTGGACTTTATAAAGAGTAATAAATCTCTTTGCCCTTTATTGCACGTTATTATTGATGCTAGCCAAGACAATTAGCCGGTCACAAGGACATAGGAAACACTGAAGCTGAAAGCTACGTCTTTGAGTTTAAATCAGAATGGAACTGTAGTATGAGAGCAAGTGCTGGTTATTTAGTGCTATTTGAAATTGTTGCACAAGTACAGCTTACAATATTATGTTAGTGTATAGTACCACAGAAAGAACAAACACAAATCTTATTTTCTTCTTCAGGGGTCTAGTGTATCTGGCAGCTCATTGGGCCATTGGTATTTTTCAAAGTTGTTTATACTGTGCAGTGGTTGGTGCAGCAGGCAGGGCGGATGATTTTGAGGTGTACTGGAGCACAGTGGAAGAGGGAAGAAAATAAATGCCACTCTGCATATACATACAGTGTTGAGGTAACTGTCTGCAGTAATATAAAGCTGGGTATAAAGAGGCCAGGGGACATCTCTACAATTACTGTGGAAAGCACGACACTTTGTGAGGCAGTATGTAACATCAGTCCTGTGGTTGCACTCGTTTCCCTGCACCAGCTGGATGCACTGAGGATGTGTGAGATACTCCTTGTTGTCTAACCTTGAAAAAGCAGCTTTAACATGCAGCTAGCACCTTTGTAAGACTCAGTCTGTACTGACGGGGTTCATCCTTGGGGAGATGCTACTGACATACTACAGGAGTGTCCTGAATCCACTTCAAGTCAGTAGAGATACTGAATTTAGCCTTTAGCATAACCTGAATGTAAAAGGGAGGACTGATGACTATGCTATTTTCTCAATAAATTCCAAATACTTCTGGAATTCAGAAATTCATTAAGGTAAAGTGTTTGGAAGTAGGAGATCACAGTCATGCTTTGTCCTGAAATAACTCATAGAGTTACTATTAATGCAAGGCCTGGGTTGTGCTGTAGGGATATGGTGACTGTGCTGCTGTCACTGCTTGCTGTTTGCTGTGACACGCACTTCAAGCGAAGAGCTGTTCAGTAGCAGCCCACCTCAGACCTGAACTTCTCTCCACATAGCTACCTGACAGGCCGTAGAGTCCATCTTAAAGCCAAGTGTCTTTAGGAGTGTCAAGAGAAGAGGCGATACCAGCTTCTCTTGTTTTCTGTTCTTGTTTTCTTGCTGGTTTTTGACATGTAATCTCAGAGAGATCTGCAAAACAGGATTGTCCATCTTGTTTGCAAGAAAAACATCTCTACCCACAGTTTCCTATGTGCCCTTTCACTGCTGCAGCTTGCGTGGAGTATGCTGATGTGTGTTGTATTTGGCCTCGCTCACACAGTTCCTCTTCAGCCAGATTTTGATCATTCTCATGGTTTTCCTCCTCCTATGTTTGCATATCACAACAGCATATGGGCCAGTCTGTTGAAGACTGTCAGTTGTACTTGCAGATAAACTGATTTAGACAGTTGCACTGAAGCTGGAGGAAAACTCAAGCAGATAGGAAGTTCGTTTGGAATACTAGCAAACAGGGTGCTCCTTAGGCATAATATGTTTAGTATTACTAATTTTATGAGGATATTCAAAATTTTCACATTAAAATATCTTCTAAGGCGTCATTGCAAATGAAATCATTCGGGGAATACTAGCTTAAATGTAAATCTACTTCATGTGAAGAACTTGATTATGTTTCTTTCTTTTCTCCAAACCATAGCTTTTGTCAGGAGTGATAAGCCAAAACTCTTCAGGGGACTGCAAATCAAGGTGAGTAGTAACCTAACTTGGTTATTTGGCATTTTAGGAAGAATTAAGCTTGGTGGAGAGAGTCCTGTGGATTGTTCCTTACTTGCTGATGAAGTAATCCTTTAGGAGAGGACATAAATTTGCATTGTCAGTATATATTTTTAGAAGTTCCTGCTACTACTATTAATTGGTTTATTGCTCAGCAACTGCATGGTACCAGTTCTTCGTTGTTGATAGGGTTTGTGGTTTTTTTTGGTTTTGTTGGTGGTGGTTGGTTGTTTGGTTTTAATCCAAGAAAAAATATACTGGAAACAATAATTAATGGCAGATAGCAAATGAATGTGAGGAATACTTGCATTCTGCCCTTTCTCTGTTGTTATATCTTGGACTTAAGCTTATTCTGCCATCGTTTCCTTTTCTGCTGTTCTGTTATCCCCTCATTTTCTGATGGAGCTGTCATTTCCATACATTCACTGATGCTTTCTCCTCCCTTTTAGAATTTCTTGCTTTGTTCTGTGATTCTGCTTTTCTTTAGAGTCTTCAAACATCCAGCTTTGCAAAAATGCATATACTGAATGGTGTTTCTTATGACTTGCACATATGCAAAGCTGCATAAGCTGCTGCACTGCCTTAAGCTCAAACAATTCTTTGATTTCAAGTTCTGGTGTAAGACTTCACCTTCTTCTAAAATCCTGCATGAACTTCCAGCATACTTCACAGAGACCCATCTTGATTCTCACATCTTGTGCTCCCATCTCTGTTCACTAAATGGCACCATCTGGAATCACTTCATAGCTATGCATGGCTGCAATAAGTGATTCGTCTTCTCAGCATCAGATTCTACCCAAAACGTATTTTCTCTGTCTCCTGCATTCATGTCTCTGTCCTTCCATTTCTTTCAAAGGCTTTCTCTCCTGCATGACTGACTGTTTCATTTTTACTTTAAACTTTGTAGCTGTATTGAACATCAAAGTGTTCTAGACTACAATTGGTACAAAGCACTATGAGAAAAAAAGTTTTAGTGCAAGTGGTTCTGTATTCATTTTACAAGATGTTTGGAAAATGGGTTAGAGATGCCACTAGCTTCATTAAGTAAAACCAACTAGGTTAGCTCAGTAGGGTAAAGTAAAGTACTCCTGGGGAAATCATTCCATAAACTTAAATGGTTAGAGCCTTCTAATACTGTTAAAAGCTTTTATTTGCTTTACATATTTTGTGACTCAGTGAGTCTTCAGAAGCATTAAAATATTATGTTACCAGCAAAGTCTGGTAGGCACAGATACAGCACAGCAGGAAAGAATGAGATTACATTAGAAATTGATAGTAGAACTTCAAGCTGTTCAAGTCAGTCACCAGAATTTTATAAAGGCTATTAATTATATGAGAAAAATCATTAATAAAAAAAACCAGCTTCAATGTAGAATGCCGTGTTTCAGAGCTAGGCTTATGGCATTCTTGCCCTACATATGCATTAGTAGACTAAGGAGAACAAGAAGCAGGTGTTTGTCACACACACACACACACACACCCCTGCATGGGACTGTTTCTCCACTTTCCCCTCTTTGACAATAAATGCCAGTCCAAAGTCTGAAGCTGCTTCCTACCTGTCTCATTTAAAAGAAGTAATTCTGTTCTGGATCTCATGATAAACATTTACTGCTCTTAGATTAACACAGTTTTATTTCTGGTGAAATGAGGCCTCTGTCCCTTAAGCTTCCTTTTCTCCCACCCCCATTCCTTAGGACTAGGCAAGAAAGCATCTAATCCAAAGCTTCAAGCACTGGCCAGCAGCTGCCAGTGGAGTGTGCAGCCCACAGCATCTCTCCATCTTTACAGCTTCAGTATGGTGCCTCCTCCATGTGAACACACATGCACACAGACTCCAGCATCTCCACACAAACATCTGCTTCTCCTTTGGATCCGCACTGTAGGTGAAAAAAGCTTGGAGGAGAGAAGGTATCAACACATGAGAAAACAAGCTGAAAGACAGATCTCATAATCTTAATCTGATTTCTATAGATCTGTTTTCTTCAAGAAAGTAGAATACATTGTTGTTAAACACTCTAATAATTAAATTCACAAAATGAGAACAAAATACATGGCACTGGAATATTTATAGCATTGAGCATTGTCAGGAACAACTAAGCTTGTCTGTTTAAGAATTCGAAGTTCTAAAAAGCAAAAGTTTAGGTTGATTTCTTAGCACAAATTGTATTGTTAAATTTGCCCAGAATACTCTGATTTATTTTAGTGCTCTGTTCTTAAGTATTCGTACTTCACGGTGACACTTTGGACTTTTTACTGTTCTTGCTTTGACATCTTTTTAACTGATTTAAATCTGTAGGCAGAGGGTAGCACTCATATGGAGATGGTCTGTACAGCCCAAGGTAACAGACTTCTGTTTTTCTGCAGTATGTGCGTGGTTCTGACCCTGTACTAAAGCTGCTGGATGACAGTGGGAACATTGCAGAAGAACTGAGCATCCTCAAGTGGAATACCGATAGTGTGGAAGAATTTCTCAGTGAAAAGTTAGAACGTCTATAAATCCTTGCTTTCAGTCCTCTTTCCTTTTCATGTTTTGTCATGGTAATCTTCTCAGATGAAGTGTGCTACAATTGCAAAAACATTCCAGCTTCTATAATAATTTTAAAATCTGTTGTGCTGTACTAAACATCTTGTAATTAGAAAGGAAAGCTTCAGCACACATCTGACAAGCTGACAAACAGCATAGCTTGTCTTAATATATTTCAACTCTTAGACATATCACTAACAAAATACTTTGTTTCAAAGTTATGAAAATATCAGTTTCTTGTAATTGGACTTTTTTAAACAAATTTTCTTAAAACAGAAGAGCTTCAAATAATTAAAATGATTACCATGCTTTTTGTTCTGCTGCTGTTCGTAAGAAAGTCAGAACCAAATGCGATGTACTGTCTCCCAAAGAAACTTCACTGCTTATGCCCTCTTCTTTTTTTGTATTTGAACTGTCCTTTTTATAGAAACATTGTTTATAGTGAGTAGTTCACAGGTTTTGAAGTTGATGGAGGAACTCATGCTCTGGCACTGTGAAACATATAGTAAGTACACTTCAGTGAAGACTACATAGAAAACCTCCGAGGTGTATGGAAGTCAGATGCCACGTGTGCTTTACGTTAAGTGTTTTGCTCCAGAAAACATGAGATAGAGGTGTTGAAAAACCTTACTTTCTAACTCTCACAAGTTTATTTGAAGTCTGTTTATCAAATGAATTTATAAACTGTTCTTTTAAAATCTACTTCTCTTTCTTAGTGGAAACTTATGTGAACAGAGAATATAGACAGTGTGTGGTAATGAGTCAAATCCATTATGACTTGTCACATTTTTTCCACTTAGAATTAATAAATATGGTAAGCAAGAATAATGTGGTGGTGTGGTGTTTTTTGGTTTTTTGGTTTTTTTAAGTCTAATTAGCAAATAAGTCTTCCCTTTAACTACTTCATGCACACCAGTTTTGAGTTGGATGGGTGCTATGCTGTGGCCTGAATTCGTACTCGGTTTTTCTCTTCATATATAATCTTATATCTCAAAAAATTTCTCTACTATTTATAGATTTTATTCCCAGCTTCTGAAAAGAAATCAATTTCACAGCAGAACCATAAACCTGAGACCAGACTGAATTATCAGAAGTAATACACTAAGGTGATTCTTTAGCATAGCCTCCTGAGTTTTTACTCTTGAAGTATTTTTACACACTCTTAGAAGGTGCCTACAGCTAGGTCACGTGCTGTTATTCTCATTGTTCTCACTTGCACTCTTATTCTATGCCTTTCTCTCCCATCCCTGTAAAGCATGCTGTTCATCTCCCAGATGGCTCAGTATGGGACAGCTACAATAGTGGTCACCCCTGTCTTAGAGACATATGAACTATACACAAAAGTACAAATTTCTGCAGCTTGTGCTAACTCATCAGTAAAACATGGATTATTCCTGGGACATGTGAAGTATTAGTCAGCAGATGAGCTACAACCAAAACTATGTGGCATGACAACCCACTATTTTGGTAGTAAAAACATGCTGCCATCCACTGGTCTTTTAATATATTGACCGTATCCCATACTTCTCATTCCTGTGTTTACCAGCAAAGGATTTGAGTTCCTGTGGGGATGATTTATCATCCTGTTTTTTCAGAATATTTTAACCTTGTCCTCCTCTCTAGCCTTAGGTCCTCTTTACCACTTAAAGGAGAGATTGTTCGCTTCATTTGGTATTTACCAAATATTTCTGTCAGTATTTCCTTCCTCCTTCTTAAAATCATGGCCAGTGGGTTTCAGGTCTTCAACCTCCCTTTTCTTTGTGTGTCTTCCTGCTGCCAGCCCACTACTTTCCTACACGAACTTCCTCTTCCAGCAGCAGGTCCTTCACTCCTGCTCTTCTTTCACTGAAGCAGGGAACTCGCTTATAGTGGAGGAAGGGACAGGCCAAAGAATTTCTCCTCCAGCATAACTGAGTTTTATGACTGCAATCCCAGTACTACTTTCAGTGCCTCTTACCATGCCCAGTACTGGTTCTCACTTATTTTCATCAAGGAGAGTGTAAATTATCTTTTCTCCCAGTTTTCCTCATAGGTTCCTGATGTGCTAAGTCAAATTCCACATGCTTATCTTGCCTTGCAATACAGATATTTATTCCCTTAGCTTAAAAGCATGCACAAGGTACATCTCTCTGTTTACCTACATGTAGGAATATGCTGAGAGTCTTCCGTGATTCTGTTACTCAGCTTCTGAGCCCTGAATCTACTCCATGTGTTAGCCTTTAGCAAAAGTTTAATTTCCTATGCTTCTTCACCTCTTGACTGTTCTTCATGCTGTTCTTCAAGTGTCAAATTCATGATATCCTTGGTTTAGTCTCTCTCATTTCGTCCTTTAGATGACACTCTTATTTTTGGCTCTACAGACATGTGGTAGAAACATTTAACATTCAGGCAAAAATGAACTGGGCTTTGTACTAAAAGAGGCAGTTGGAATGGGGAATGACTTCTTTTGGAAATTCTTAAGTTTCTATTTATCAGTGTGGGAGTTTTTCCTCCAGACTGCAGCTGTGAAAATTCAGAGAACTCAAAAGGTTATTTTGGCTGTGGCTGTTAACTACACAAAATACAAGGTTTAAAGCTCCCGTTTTAAAAAAGGAAGTGATTCATTTTTACTTACAGCCATGATAAGCACCCAGTACTTCATGAAAGGCATTCACTCCAATTTATGTAAGAATTATTTAGTGTTATATAATGCTCCTGTTGTGCCAAATCTTGAGAGAGTTAGTGAAAGGAAGAATAAAAGCAGCAAGCATGCATGACTGAGTTGAAACATGAAATGTCCATCTCCCCCTCCTATCTTTCTAGAAGCAAAAAAGGCAGCTAATTTTGCAGGAGAGAGTACCAGTGGTTTTAAAAAGGAGAAAAAAAAAAAAAAGGTGTACATTCCATTTTGTACATAGATATGTTATGTAGATGAATTTGAAGTACACTGTACAAGCTACTTGGAAGAGTTTCCTGGGTACGTGCTTGGTCAGATTCCCACAATGTGAACCAGAACAAAACTATCGTAGCTGGCAAAAATCTGTTTCAAAGCTAAGGGAAACCTTCCAGCAGACATTACAATCATGGAAAGAAAGTAATCAACTCAGCCTTCTTTATTGTTTTGTCATCTAGATAGAACAATAACAGCCAACTTAATGAAGAGCACACACAGAAAAGTACGCATGTTCAGAAACCTGATGTGCTTTGATCACTCAAAGTAAATGGGCTTTGAAATTTTTCAAGTGTGCCTGAAAAGTGTCCATCAAACACTAAAATGCAGAATATTTATATCAAAAGCGGCTAACAAAAACACCAACTTCTGAATTTGTGTGTTCTTCCTGAAGATCCTAACTATTAAGGCCCAGCCCAATTACTTTGAAACAAATTTGCAGTCACGTCTGAAAGGAAGAGCCCAAGGGACGAGATAGGCAAGGAGACAAGGAACAGACACTGATACATTATGTTATTGAACACCAGTGGTTCAGAACACCAGCTTCCTTCCCAAATGAACTCTGGTAAAAAGTCCAAGCAGAGGGGAACCGGAGAATATTTTCAGTAATTTCTTTTCCTTATCACTTGTTATAAAGGATGGACAGAAGGAAACATTATCAAATTACTTACCTAGTGAGCGCAGACAGGAGACTCCAGCAGCAGCCAGAGTATTCTTGTATGTATTGATTCAGACAGGAGCCATGGCACCAGATGAAGACAGGCCGTCTCAAAGAGTCCCTGACTCTGTTGTTTTGAAATAGACTGATGCCGAACAAGGCCTATCAGCTTGGTTCCTCTCTGAGAAGCAAGGTGTATCCGTTGCACCTTTTGTACTCTGAAAGTTACATGCAACAGCACTTGTGTCCACTGCCGCACAAGTTAAAGCTTCTAAACACAGAAATGGAATACACCTCTCAACACTAAGGCAACCCTGGGAGCTGACCATGATTTACCCCTGTGTAGAGCAAGCAGCTCTTTCGATTTACAGCTCATTTTGCCTGGTCTCTGGCCACGCTGTCAGGCATATTTGTTTCAAAGTACTTGCAGCGATGCAATGGTCCCAGATGGCCTAGACAGCCTAATGCATAAGCTTCAAGTAGACAGTGGTGACAAACATACCCTCATATGGCTATTCCTACCAGTAGTTGTTCTTGAAAATGCACACCACACAGATTCTACAGAGGCCCAAGACAAAGCTGTATTAACAATATTAATTGTTCATCCTTGGGAGTTTCTAGCAATACCAGTATTTTGTGCCAACAGCCTTCAGAGGCCATGTATGCCCAACACAGTTCAAACATTTTGTAGAAAGGCAGTTGTGCTGAGTGCACAGGAGTTCAGTCAGACTTTTAGGTATTTGCCAGGATGAGCACTCTGGTGGTCACGATAGGTTTGGGTAGGTCTGTACCACATCAAAGATATGTAAGAGCACATTTTTTGGCTTAGGAAGTTATAGTCTGACTAGCTTAAAAATATAAGATGCATTGGTACAAGTGTCACTACAAACTATAAATACTATGAGGGGATCTTAGAGTATATGCACCACAGTAGTCAAGCCCACGTAATGCAAGTGTAAACCACATCTTTCCTACAGGATGCTGCAGCTGTGCCCTCAGTGCTGCTCGTCTCCCTGGGGGTTACCTGTCCACACTGCTTTCAGACTAAGTTCAGGTCACTTGACAAGGCTTAGAATTATGCCCTTATCCATTTCTGGAATCCAAAGATACTCTTTGCTCTGAACGTCTCCCAGAAGTGACAGAAAATAAAAGAACATACTAGCAATAGCGTGGAGGGGAAAACAATTTCATATTTTCACAGGAATACTTAACAGTATTTTATATTTAGTAGGAACAAGGGCATGAATTGAAAGCAGCAGGACAATAATGACTAAGCAGTAATTTGAATAAGAACAAGGTTGTTTAACAAAAATCAATGGATACTACAGAGCTATGAAACAACACAGTATTTTCTCATAACTCAGAGTTTCAATCTCAATAAAACAGTAGAGTTGTACACAAACGTGAGCACCTTAATTTTGCGTTTTAAAGGCCATGCTTATTTACTGCTATATTAATTACATCAGCTTTCAACAAGTTATTCTTCTAAAGGAAAGTAGTTGTATGTTCATGTGCCATACAAAATACATCACAAAAAAGTAAGAGTTAATCAGACTAGCAGAATCCAACTCCAGAGCCTGGCATACTTCTGCTTTGTCTTAGTTTTAACTGCCTGATTGACTCAGCAGCAGCAGGAAGAGTCAACATTGTAACAGAGCTAAATATGAGAGTGTCCATCCTAGGTCTCAGTATTCTTCTCAAGATTTTACTGTAGTGAAATCCCACTGTAAGTCATGCTGGATGGAATGGGAAGGAGTAAATCAGTCATAGTGTAAATCCACAAATTAATCTAAGAGTGTATTTTCTAGTTTCTGTATAATAGAAATTATTCCCTAGAACAGTTCCATACCTTGACCTTCTCGGCCAGCACCCAGCACTGCAGCACAGTTCATATCCTGGAGCTGGGAACACATCCCCTGACTGCATCAAGCACAAAAGAAGCTATTT